TAACTCCATGTCTTTGCACATTTCATTATAATAATTGACTCTCTCTTCTCAAGCTGCTCTTTGAAATCTTCTGTTCAGCTCTTTTATCTTGTCATTTCTTCCATTTGCTTTAGCTACTCTTCACTCAAGGGCAAGTTTCAGAGTCTTTTCTGGCATCCATTTTGGTCTTTTCTTCCTTTCCTGTCTTTTTAATGACCTTTTTCTTTCTTCATGGATGATGTTCTTGATGTCATCCCACAATTCCTCTGTAAGAATTCCTAGATATATAGTAGAGCTGACAAGGGACAAGTTTGCAGTGACTTCTTGGACATAGCCAGCTACCCAGAGGGAGCAAGTAGTTGGACCTGTGAGCTCGGGACCATGGTCATAGGGGACATCAAGCTCAATTGTCATAACATACTACACAGAAACATTTTTCCACATCCTACTTTCATGAGTAGCAACTGGGATCTTAAAAGCTTGCAAGCAGTCATCTAGATGCAGTGATAGATCTCTCCTCATCCAGAGCAAAGAGGAATGAAGAAAACTAAAAATGCATGGAAACAATTAGTCCAAGGGACTGGTACACTGTGTGATCATCAGCCTATATGACTATGAGGCCAGAAGAACTAGATGGTACCTGGCTACCACTGTACACCACTCAGAGGAGGATCAATGTAGGAGACCTGGATAGAGTAGGAGAACAATGTGAAACAAAACTCAAAATCATAGGGAGGGGGAGCAGGTTTGCTGTTCTGATAGAACCTGGTAGAACACCTGAGACTATGGCCCCTACCTGCCCCTTAGGTCTGGAATTGAACCCACTCCGTGGCTTCCAGCCAAACAAAAGACAGGCATATGAGCTGAACATTTACATTAAGTAGATACACTTTTTGGAGAGATCAATCATGGGAGAATAGAAGGGCTGTGTATGTACAGGGAGACAGTTCAGGGGGCAGGAGTGCATGGAGGGATGGACACAGGGAAGAGTGGCTATGGGGAAAGAGTGGGAGGAGAGCTGTTGCATTGTGGGAGATTACAGTCAATGTCATGAGACAAAGTGTATGTGAGCTGTATGGAAAATGAATTTGCTCTCTAAAATTTCACCCAAATCACAATAAAATTTAAAAAAGAAAGAAATCAGACATTGTATTGTACTGGGCAAATCTGCTGCAAAAGACCTCTTTAAGGTGTTAAGGAATGAAGGTGTCACTTTGAAAACTGAGGTGCACCTGACTCGAGCCATGGTGTTTTCAATTGCCTCATATTCTTGTGAAGCTGGACAGTGAATAAGAAAGACCACAGAAGAGTTGGTGCCTTTAAATTGTGATTTTAGCGAATTAACACTGAAAATATCATGGACTTCCAGAAAAATGAAAAAATCTGTCTTGAAAGAAGTGCAGCCAGAATGCTCCTTAGAAGCAAGAATAGTGAGACTTTGACTCACCTACTTGGTCATGTTGTCAGAAGAGACCAGTCCCTGGAGAAGGATATCATGCTTGGTAAATAGAGGGTCAGCAAAAAAGGGGAAGATGCTCTATGATATGGATTGACCTAGTGGCTGCAACAATAGGCTCAAGCATAGCAAGGATTGTGAGGCACAGGACCAGGCAGTGTTTTGCTAGTATTGCACCTTACAACCGTACAAGGAGAGCTGTTGCATTGGGTAAATTGTAGTCAATGTAATAAGACAAAGTGTATGTGAACTGCTGTATGGAAAGTGAATTTGCTCTGTAAACTTTCACCCAAATCACAATTTAAAAAAAAAAAAAAGAAAGAAAGAAAGAAAATAACACTTCAGGGATGAGCTTATTTGCATTTGAAAGGCTCTTCATCTGCAAATCATAACCAGTAGAAAAATATAATGCATGAAAAACTAGGAATAAAGCATGATCCAGATGAAGAAACTTACCAGTCATCTAAGATACTGTGATGGTTATATTTGTATGTCAACTTGGCTAGGCCTGGTTGAGTGGCTGAGCAGCTGGATGTAGTATTCCCCATGATGAGACTGGTAATCAACTTCATGGTGGAATCTACTGGGAGCAGATGAGTAGCTCCCTTTGGGTATGGGGTCTGCTTCCTATATATAAGGAGAAGCTTTGAGAATGGTTTCTAGCCTATGGCACACTTGGACCCTGCATGTAGCCGTGTCATTGCTCAGCAGCCTACTATGCTCTGCCGACCTTGGGACTTACAATGGACTTAAGTTAATGGCCTGCCATGTGATTTGGTAACATTGGGACTGTGCCTTTTTACTTGTTAACCTTGAGGCTTCCAGCCTCAGCAGCCAGCAATTGTTTGAGTGAAGCAACGCCTCTAGCTCCAGTGGGCTGGGAGCAGGAGGCGGAGCTGGACCCCAAGGTTGAGGGGCTTTCACCCAGCCCCTAGAGCCTGGCACTTTGAACTTGGACTTAAAGCCTCCAAATTGTAAGAATAAACTGCTGCTTGTTAAGGCCATCCCATTTGTGGTATTTTCTTGTCAGAGCGGCACTAGGGAACCAGAATAGATACAAAAAGACATAAATGAATATTGAGGTAGAAGGAAGATCTCATCTCTTCTCTTCCCAACTAGGAAGATAATGTAATTCCAAATAACATTATTAAATTCCATATAATATGAAGATAAAGTAATTCCAAAGTAAATCACAGTTTTGGAGGAATCTGACTAAATGAGTGCCCTTTGAAAAACATTCTTATACAAGATTTCTGAGAAACAGTGGTGTTTCCTTCTGACAATGAACACTGTTGGTCTTTTTTTATAAGTTGCTACACGCTTCAGTAAATGTTAGTTTTGTAATTAATTTTATGATGATTATTTGCAGGACATCTATTCTAGTTAATATTTTTTTTTTATTGCATTTAAGGTGTAAACTGATAAACATCTTCGTCCATCATACATTATATAGAGTTTCTTTACTGCATGGGATTTCTAATGTCTATAAATTGCATTTTTGATAAAGTTTTACCACATACGTATCAAAATGAAGATTTCTCTTTAATATACACACTGATGAATGGAAAATTTCTCCCTGAAAAAAAGTCTTACACCATTTTAGATGACTTCATTGCCACATGGGCCCTTAAAAATTAAAAAGTTTGAACTTGGAATTATACTGTTGCTTTCCTATGTAGATTCCAGTAACTGTGAAATGTGTTGTTATTAAAACCCTCTTTATTAGTCAGGATAGGTTAGGCAATGCTGCAGTAATAAATAAACCACCAAAATCTCAGCAGTATCACACAACAGATGTTTATTTCTTACTCACAGAAAACCCAATACAGGTCAAATACCCACCTTTCAATAACCCAGTCAGGAACAAGAAGCCTCCAAGGTCACCTCAGCAGGGAAAGAGAAGCCTGAGGACATCAGGAGATATTTGTAAGGGCCAGGCCTGGCAGTAGCTCATACCACTTTTGCCCACACTCTACTGCTGGAACACAATCACATGGACTCACTGTTAACTGCAAGAGTTGCTGGGAAATGAAGTCTTCCCATGTGCCCAGGAAATGGAATGTGTCTTTATTACACTCTTAAAATATCACTCTTACAGAGCTTTCTCCTGTATAGACAATCTAATGGGTTTCAAAACCTGACTACAGACTAATGTTCTCCCAACACTAGTAATGTGAGTGTTCCATTTCTGAGCCCACTGTTGAATGTCCTTCACAGAAGGGGTATCTTTTTGTGTGTTATTGTTAGGTGCCGTTGAGTTGGTTTTGACTCATAGTAACCTCATATGTTGTTGTTGTTGTTATGTGCCGTTGAGTCGGACCCAACTGATAGCGACCCCTCCTTGGGTTTCCGAGGCAGTATCACTATGGAAGTAGCTTGCCCCATCTTCCTTCTGAGGAGTTGCTGGTGGGTTTGAACCACCAGCCTTCTGGTTAGTAGTCAAGTGCCTTAGCCACTATGCTACCAGAGCTCCCAGCAACCTCATATACGACAATGAAATAATGCTTTTTATCTTTTTTAGTATGGACTTGCTCAAAAACCTAAGTTCAACCTTTAGTTGAATTAAAGTCTTTCCCATATTCATCTCAATTGAAATTTCCTTCACGGGTAAATTCCTCAATGAAAATTTTACCTCTAACTCTTGCTGTTGCCACAACCTGCCCTTTTGCAGAGAATCACTTACTTTGCCACTGCAGCAGGAGACAGCTAACAAGAGCTGCAGAGATGTCCAAAGGGTGTGGAGTCAGTGTCTGATCTCTTCTAACTTCACAAGGGAAAAGGAGGTCAGATGCCCCTGCCACACCCTTTTTACAGTTGGCAATGAGGATGGGATTTCAAGGCTACACACCTTATTTGCATAGTCCCACCTCTAGAAGGGTGCCATGTACTTTATTTTCATTGTTAACAAGCTGTCCAATCCCCTGGGTTGGGCCACAAGCATTGCACATTTGCATAGTCCCACACAGTCATCATGGGCTATCATGGACTGCTAGAAGAATGAACTCTGTCATAGAAGTATAGCCAGAATGCTCCTTAGAAGCAAGAATGACCAGACTTTGTCTCTCATGCTTTGGTCATATTGTCACAAGGGACCAATCCCTGGAGAAGAACGTCATACTTGGTAAAGTAGAGGGTCAGAGAAAAAGGCAAGACCCTCAATAAGATGGATTGACACAGTAGCTGCCATGATGGGATCAAGGATGGCAATGATTATGAGGATGGTGCAGGACCAGGCAGTGTTTCCTTTTGTTGTACACAGGGTTGCTATGAGTCAGAACTGACTAAAGGGCACCTAACAATAACAACCAAGTCATCCGGTGGAAGTCACAAAGACCACGGCTGGAAGGGCCATACCAAGCAATTCACTGCACCACAACAGAACTTCTTGAGATCTGTAGGAATTCCTTGGAATGCTCTTGACAGTCACTACTTTAGTGCTGCAAGCTGACATTATAGACAGCAATGTCTCTAATCTCTAACCCTCCAGCCCTTCCAATGGCTCAGTAAGCCTCTCATCACCTGGGATACACAGAGTGGCTTTCTGTTTTCCTAACTGAACCCTGCCTCACGACATCTGTAATGCCTCTGTCCTCATATGCAGTTTTTGATGAGTAAGCAGGTCTGAGCTATTGCTAAAACCCTCACCACACTCATGACATGTATGTTATGACTTGTTGATATGCACTCTGTGATGGGCAAGAAGATAAGAATTGTGACTGAAGCCCTTACCGTATTCTTTGCACTTACAGGGCCTTTCTCCTGTGTGGACCCTGAGATGGACATGAAGATCTGAATTCCAGCTGAAGCTCTTACCACACTCATCACATTTGTAGGGTTTCTCTCTTGTGTGATCTTTTTGATGTAGATGAAAGTATGAGCTATAACTGAAGCCCTTCCCACAGACATCACATGTGTAAGGCTTTTCTCCCATGTGAACCCTCTGGTGAGTGTGAAGAACTGAACTGTATGCAAAGTCCTTGCTGCACACATTGCATTTGTACGGCTTCTCTCCTGTGTGGACTCTCTGGTGAATATGAAGGTGTGTGCTTTGGCTGAAGCCTTTCCCACACTCATGACACCTATACAGCTTCTCTCCCATGTGCAGCCGCTGGTGGACTTGAAGAACGGAGCTGGAACTGAAACACTTGCCACACTTACTGCATTTGTAGGGTTTCTCTCCAGTGTGCACCCTCTGGTGGACAAGATTTGAGCTCTGATCAAATGCCTTCCTACACTCTTCACACTTACAGCGTTTTTGCCCTGTGTGTACTCCCTGATGACTACAAAGCAGTGAGCTGGATCCAAACCCCTTACCGCACACGTCGCATTTGTAGGGCATCTCTCCTGTATGGATTCGATGATGGTTGTGCAGAGAGGAGGTCCGCTGAAAGCCCTTGCCACATTCATCACATTTGTAGGGTTTGTCTCCTGAGGGTACTTTTGGATATCTGGGAAGGTATGAGCTCTGTTTGCAGCCCTTAGACCACTCATGGCAGTTATAAAATTTTGCACCTGAATGGGTTTCATTATGAACTAAGTCTGAGCTCTGACTAAAGTCTTTTCCATATTGGTCCCATTTATAAGCTTTTTGTCCTGTGTGAGCACGGTGATGAGTGGGAGGATTTGAATCATCTATGAAGCCCATTCTACAGCAATTACATTTGGAAGGTGTTGATACCATATGGACTACATTGTATCGTTCAATGGTTGACTCCGTGACCAAGCTTCTCCCACAGTCATTGGATCTACAGTGTTCCTCTCCATTACATTCCTGGGAACTGTCATGATCATGTGAGGGCCAACGGAAGCTCCCATCACACCAATCACATCCACACATTCTCTCTTCCACGTGAATTCTTCTACATCTTCCCTGAGAATTCTGGGGCTCTGTTGTTATGCTGGCTTCTCTCGAAGATTCTGGGGTCAGGACCTGGGTCAAGCCTTTCCAAGCTGATGGATGTTCGAAATTAATGGTATTTACCACCAGTTTTCATTTTCCACAACCTGAAGAGATGTTCCTGCCCACTCTTCACAGAAGGAAACACCTTTTTCTGCACAATGGGGACAATCTCCTTGAAGATTTGTGACATAATCCTGACTCTCAGCTAAGTCACTAATTCTGTGTTTCCAAATCTGCCAGCAGAGGAACATTGCTTGTGAGGGGTAACTCAGTCCTGTCCCCTGAAGGTTTGAAAAGTTGTTTTTGATCCCGTCTTCTACAAGGACAAAGAAAATTTGGCTAAGAGAACAAATAAATCATCTGTTTGGTGAGAATGGAGTAGGATAGGGTAGGAGATTGTCATGTAATAGGCAATTTGAACCACAGTCATTCTAATCTATAATTCTGTCAATTAGAAATCAGGTCTTTCAGGGAAGTCAAAGGAAATCTTGGCAAGAAATTATAAAAGAATTGATCGAGGAAGAAGAAATTCACCTCTCTGCTATAAAAGGAAGGAACTCTGGTAGTGGTTAAAGCATTCAGTTGCTAACCAAAAGGTGGGTGGTTCAAATCCACCAGCCGCTCCACATAAAGATGAGGCAGTCTGCTTTTGTACAGATTCCCATATGGGACAATTCTATTCTGTCCTCTAGGGTTGCTGTGAGTTAGATCAATTTGATGGCAGTGGAGTTTTGGGGCTATAAGAGAAGTAAAAAAAAAAGCCTTTAATTATTTTTTACACACAGTATGAAGAAGGCTCCCATATGATTTGTATATACACACATATACATACACATACACACACACAAAAAAAAAAACCTCACTGCCATAGAGTTGATTCCGACTCATAGCGACCCCCTTTCAGTTTCTGAGGTGGTAAATCTTTACAGAAGTAGATTGCCCAGTCTTTCTTCTTCAGAGTGGCTGGTGGGTTTGAACCTCCAACCTAAAGCCATCTAGATGGGTTTCAAAATGGCATGAATCCCACGATCAAGACCATATGGTTAGTTTTTGGTTCAAGGTAGTTTCTGGGTCAAGTCACTGAAAGTGACTTTAGTTCATAAAATGGTGCCAGGGAAAGGCGGACATGGAAGGAAGTTGGGACAATCCACTTCCATAAAGATTTACTGCCTTGGAAACCCAGTGGGGATTGCTATGAGTCAGAATTGACTCAATGGCAGTGGGTTTGTCTTGGTTTTCTTTTTAGAACAGGCTCAAAACAGTGGCTTTTCAATTGTTTTAACTGTAACTCATTGTAAGAAAAGTATGTTATTCTGCAATCTATTATACAGACACACACACAGACTGTTAACTGAAACAGAAGTTTCATCAGCTGGTATTTACCTATGTGCAATGCACATGGGTAAATTCTTTTGTGATTTTGTTTTTAAAAACTGCTGAACATATAAAAGGGCAAACACCGTATGATTCTACTTACATAAATACGTAGAATAGGTAAATTCAGAAAGACAGCAAGTAGATAAGAGGTCACTAGGGACTGGGCGCTCTGGTGGCGTAATGCCTAAGGCATTTGACTGTTAACTAGAAGGCTGCTGGTTCAAACCCACCAGCCACTTCTTGAAAGGAAGACTGGACAATCTACTTCCATAGTGATACCGCCTCAGAAACCCAAGGAGGGGTCACTATGAGTCGGATCCAACTTGACGGCAATGAGTTTGATTTGGTTTAGGGAAGGGGAGGAGTAGGGAGTTATTGCATAACAGGTACAGAGTTTCTGTTTGGGGTGATGGAAACATTTGGAAAGTGGGTTTGGAAAAAGTTTGGAATAGATCATGGTAAAGGTTTCATGGCATTGTGGGTGTAACAACATTGACTTGTATACTTAAAAATTGTAAAATGGCACGTTTTATGTTATATATATTTTACTACAATAAAATTGAAACAAAGAAAGTACTGATCTGAACCCCAGCCTTGGGGAGAGAGCTCCTCTTATATACTAACTTGATTTCAGGACCCACCAATTGGGCTGCTTCCTGCAGTTCAAGGAACAACTGAGCGATATACACCTTTAGGCAAAAGGGTGACATTTCTACACTATATAGATACTGTGGTATTTCAGTTTCACATGGTTATTAAAAACACAAGGTCTAGAGTCAGACTGGGTGGGTTCAAATCCAACTTCTTCTCCACAGAAGCTATGTCACCACAGGCAAGTTGTTTATCCACTCTGTGCCTCAGTTGTTTCATCTGTAAAAGCAGATTAATGATAGCAATTCTCTCATAAAGTAAACTGAGGTAATATATATTTGTATAAGGGCCTCTGAGAAATTGACATTAGCTTAGATATTTATCAAAAAATAAACAAGTTGTTAGGGATTGAATTGTGTCTCCCAAAAAATATGTGTTGTAAATCCTCACCTCTATGCCTGTGGTTATAATGGGTTGTCTTTGTTATGTTAATGAGGCAGGATTAGTGCAGGGTGTGTTTTGAGTCAATCTCTTACAAGATATAAAAGAAAGAGATGTAAGGAAGCAGAAATGGGAAATGAGAGATGCCAAGCCACATGAAGATTGCCTAGGAGCAGATGCTCAAAAGAGACAAAGACCTTTCTCTACAATCAACAGAGAGAGGAAGCCTTCCCCTAGACCCAGTGCCCTGAGTTTAGACTTCTAGACTCCTGAACTGTGAGAAAAGGACCTGTGGTGGCATAGTGGGTGGGGCATTTGGTTGCTGACTGAAAGGTAAGAGGTTCAAACCCACCAGCTGCCCTGTGGGAGGAAGATGGGGCAGTCTACTTCCGTAAAGATTGACAGTCTCAGAAACCCAATGGGGTCACTATGAGTTGGAATTGACTTGATGTTAGTGAATTATTTATTTATTTATTTATAACTGTGAAGAAATTTGTTTATTAATGCCACCCACTGCAAGCTTGTGCTGGCTTCTTGGCTACAGCCAGCTATCTGGAAGGAGCAATTAGTTGGACCTGGGTCACAGAGGACATCAAGCTCAATTGGCAGACCGTACTACACAAAAACTTTGTTCTACATCCTACTTTGGTGAGTAGTGACTGGGATCCTAAAAGCTTGCAATCAGCCATCTAGACGCAACAATGGGTCTCTCCTCATCTAGAGCAAAGAAGAATGAAGAAACCAAAGACACATGGAAACAAATAGTCCAAGGGACTGGTAGACCGTGTGATCCTCAGCCTATATGACCATGAGACCAGAAGAACTAGATGGTGCCCAGCTACCACTGTCAACCACTCAGAAGGGGATCCTGGAGAGAGTGGGAAAACAATGTGGACAAAACTCAAAATCATAAAAAAAAAAAAAAAAAAAAGACCAGGTTTGCTGTCTGATAGAGCCTGGTGAAACTCCTGAGACTATGGCCCCTAGCCACCCTTCAAGTCTGGCATTGAACTCACTCCTGTGGCTTCCAGCCAAATAATAGATAGGCATATGGGGTGAACAATTACATCAGGTAGATACACTCCTTGGAGCAATTAATTAAAGAAGGACTGTGTTTTCACAGGGAGACAGCTCAGGGGGTGGGAGTGCATGGGAGAAAAGGACACAGGGAAGAGGTTTAACTATGGGGAAGAGAACTGTTACATTGTGGGGAATTGCAGTCAATGTCATGAAACAAAATGTGTATGAACTGCTGTACAGGAAATGAATTTGCTCTGTAAACTTTCACCCAAATCAATAAAAAATAAATAAAAAGCCACCTACTTGTGGCATTTATAGCAACACTAGATAACAAAGACACAAACTAACACTTAATATTGCACTTACAATGTACCAAGTAAGGAGCTCTGGTGGTGTAGTGGCTGAGGCATTTGTCTGCTAACCAGAAGGTCAGTAGTTGAAACTCAACAGCTGCTCCACAGGAGAAAGATGAGGCAATCTACTTCCATAAAGATTTACAGCCTTGGAAACCCAACGGGGGTTGTTATGAATTGGAATTGACTTGAATGCACTGGGTGGGTATGTACCAGGTACTCTTGTAAGTGTCAACCAAATCAAAGTTTTGGTTTGATTTCTTTGACACTAGTTTGTCCCCCTGGTTTTTCTCCAGGAGCAACCAAGGGACTAAGGTGCTTGGTTGTGTTTGAACTTTATCATTCTCAAGCTGCAAAACAAGAGGAAGGAATGAGAGGCTAAACGTGGGAGGGAGGAAGAGGGTTCACCGAGCACATGGACCATGCTCCTGGGGTGGGGGCACAGGGTTTGAGAGGAGCCCCCTCACCTCGCTTCACGAGGGGCCGCCACTCACTCATCTGCAGAGTTCTCATCTGCACATGCATCTCTTTGGAGTTCTCTCCATCAAAGTGTTTCTTGGTGCTCCAACTGGAGTATCCTGTCTGGTGTGAAATTCATCATCAGGGAAAACAAGTCTGTTGCCATGAGGCTTAGTTCCAGGTGGCTGTTCCCAGCTAACCCACTGGGGAGCTCTGGTGGCATAGTGCCTAAGGCATTTGACTGCTAACCAGTAGGCTGGCGGTTCAAACCCATAAGCCACTCTTCAGAAGGAAGACTGGGAAATCTACTTCCGTAGTGATACTGCCTCGGAAACCCAAGGAGGGGTTGCTATGAGTTGGATTTGACTCGACAGTAGTGAGTTTGGGTTTTGTTATTTATTTATTTATTTATTGGTACTCACCCACTGAGACCAGGTCCCGGAAGTTTTCCAGCATCACATCTCGGCCTTGTCCAGTAGGGCCAGCTCCTCCTCAGTGAAGACCACAGCCACATCCTTGAACATCACCTCTTCCTACAACACCAAGCACATACTCCCATCCATCATCCACCCCAGTGACCACCGGAAGGAGAGAAGACCCAGAAGCTGTGCTGTCATGAAGTGGACTCTCTCTCTGCTCTACCCCATCGCTTGGGAGCCATACTTTGCAATGGTGGAGCTGGAATCTGAAACCACTCTGCTACTGTGCCAGCTGCCTCTATACTGTGCTTTGACAATGGAGGGGGGGCGGCGTTAGAGGGATTCTGCAAACCCAGCAGAGGAAGAAGGGACTTGCTCCTTCTTGCTGGCTTTCTGTTCTGGTATCACCCCAGTAAGGCTACTTTACCCCAACAGCAGGGGTTCCTTTCTGTAGCAATAGCTGAATCCACATGGCCGTTTTCCAACACCTGGGGAAGCAGTTCCATTGTCTAACACCTCACAAATGCCAGCACCAGCCGCATCAGAAATCTGGATCCCAGGCCTCCCTCCGGGGCTCCTTCTCTGAACACAGAGACCAGGCAGCCAGCATACCTCCTCATAGTTCTGAGGTTCAACACCATAGAGTCCCCTCCTCTAAGTTCCTAAGTCCTAATAATTCAGCTTCTTTGTTCCTTCAGTGTTATGGACTGAATTGTGTCCTCCTACATGTGTCTTGGAATCCTGACCCCTATACCTGTCGCTATGAGTTGGGTCCGACTCGACGGCACATAACAACAACAACAACATACCTGTGGATATAATCCCATTGGGAATAGGGTTTTCTTTGTAATGTTAATAAATCCATATCAGTGTAGGGGAAAAAAAAGACAAGACCCAAACTCACTGCCATCCAGTTGATTCCGACTCTTAGCAACTCCCGTTGGGTTTCCGAGGTGGTAAATCTTGACCAAAGTAGATCACCCCATCTTCCTTCTGCAGAGCAGCAGGTGGGTTTGAACCACTGACCTTCTGGTTAGCAGCCAAATGCCTTATGCACTGTGCCCTAAACCTAATCCCTCTGACTGATAGGGAGCAGCCCAGGCACAGATTCAAGCACACAGGGGAGGAAGGTAGACACCACATGGGGATCACCGAGGAACAAAGAGAGCCAGGACTATAGACACTGAAAGAGACAGGACCTTCGCCCAGAACCAAGAGAGAGAGAAAGCCTTCCCCTAGACCAGCTCCCGGAATTCGGCCTCCTAACCTCCTAAACTGTGAGAGAATAAATGTCTATCTTTCAAAGCCACTCCTTGTGGTATTTGTTATAGCAGCATTAGGAAACTAAGACACTCAGGCTGGTAGCTACTTCCTGCAACCGCTACTTCATAACACCTTAGAGTTCTCTTGACCCGTTCAGTCACCTGGTTAACAACTTGATGTCTTGTTAACCACGCTTTACATTATACTCTCTCTGTTCAAATAGCTGGTAATGTTTTTGCCTCCTGAATGGACCCTGACTGATATAAAGGCACAGAGAAGCATTCCGGAAATGCACAGTTTTGAGTGGGCAATGGTTCTCTTCTCCCCGCATCACCTGTATCACACTGGTAATCGTTCATGTTCACCCAAAGAATGTTACAGTAAACATCCATGAATATGTGTCTTTGAGTGCTTGTAGGAATGTTTCTACAGAATGCACTCCCAGGCCAGAGACTCCTGAATTACTTGAGCATGCATTTTTATAATTTGATTGTCATTGTCAAAATCGTCCCCAAAAAGGTTGGGCTCATTCACAGGCCTCGTAATATTTGGATGCTCCATTTTCCATCACTGACCAGGTTGTGGCATTTTCAATTCTCTTTCATGGTAGATTCATCTATTTCTATCCAGTTAAAGGACTAAGACAACAGGCCACCACACGTTTGATATTCTGTTGTATGGAGGTGGCTTCTGTGTTGCTACGGTGCTGGAAACTACTGGGTATTTCAAATACCAACAGGGTCACTGTTTTGGTTACCTAGTACCGCTCTGACAAGAATATACCACAAATGGGATAGCTTTGACAAACAGGAG